TTTCTTTCTTTCTTTCTTTCTTTCTTTCTTTCTTTCTTTCTTTCTTTCTTTCTTTCTTTCTTTCTTTCCAGTTACTAATTATTGATGGACAGCAGTTGAGAAATGACCCAGCTATAGTAATGGAAGAAGTGCAGAAATTTCTGGGAGTTACTCCTCATTATAATTATTCAGAAGCTCTAACGTGAGTTAATTTGTTGGTCTAATATAATATATACAACTAAATTGTACAGAATAAATAATTTTGAGAACAAAGCAACTCATACAATTATAACTTGGCTTGATAAATCAAAATATGCATAAATATTTTATCTCTTCATATAAACTATGTTTGAATCAGGCAGTGTATAATTAATACTTATTTCTCTAAGCTAAGAAATTGGGATTACAAGATTTGGAACAAAGAGGAAACCATGATTAAAAATATTCTGTTTTACTTGTGTTTTTAAAAAGGAATAATAAAAGAACAGTGTACATGGCTACATATACAAATGAACACACACCTGGGTCAATTATCTTATTTAAAAGCCATAGTATAATTGTTTCTTTATTTCTTCTCTCTTAAACATTTTTTAAAAACTCTTTATCTCAGAAAGTTATACCTCTCTTAGAAGCACATTCTTAAGGAAACAATATTAATATATTGATCAATGAATAACAAATTATTATGATTCATAACAAGTGTGTTATTAATTTGATAAAATCGTTATTCTATTTTGGGATTTACTCAAAGACTACTCTATTAAACCAGAAGAACACTAGCAACTATTCACCACCATTGAATTTCCATAAATCTTCTTTTAAAATGAATATAGTGAACTATTTCAGAGTGGGCAGAATGTGAGACAAAGGAAGGACTGCATCCAGTAAATTGGTTCTGCCTTTTAAACTAGCAAATAGAATGACATGCTTTTTCCCCCCACACTGACAGCAAAAGATTTTTCATCCAAAAGCAAGAAGAATGGAAACTTATTTTCTTTTCCTTTGATAGAAAAATACAATACTAATGCCAGTCACATGCCATCCAATAGGTCTGTAATAAATAATTACAGAGACCATATGAACTTAAAACATTTACTCACCTGTCCTTAAAATGAGATTGATAACCTTGTATAGGTTCTCCTAAGAAACACTCAGAATAATATGGTGTCCATTCCTAGCTCTGTTTCATGCCTCTGAGTCAACTGTGCTTTCTTTGTTTGTTTGTTTGTTTGTTTGTTTTGTTGCAGCATGTATAGCAAATTGACTTTATTTACTAAGAAATGAAGTTGATTTTAAAGAGAAAATGGATCAAATTCACTTCTGAAGCAGTTCTGTTCAGTTTTCTCCTTCTTCTACTTCAGAGCTCTTAACCTGAAATACTGTGAATTATTACCAGCTGCATCTAAACCCAGTGCTTGTCTTTCTTGTGCAAAACTATTTGTTAGAATATTTCCATTTAAAAAAAACCCTAATTTTTTTCAAAAGCTCTTCTTTCATTCCAGCACTTTTACTTTTTTGAATTATTTTAGCCTTGGATATCCTTATTTCAGTTTATAATCTAGCAAATAACCAACCAATTTTGTTGAAATCAATGACACCAAATGTGGTGCGAGTTTGTTACAAAAATAATCCATACAACAAGATAGTGTAAACCTAGAACACACAGTGATCGTCCTAAGCATCCCACTGTTGTGTTTGTGAGGAGGCAAAGATAATTTATTACTTATTCCTTTCCGGAAATGTGATGATCATTGACGTAGTACAATATGCAAATCAAGCCAATACTGTATATAATATCAAATCCCATGTTGGCATCAAGCATGATAATCATTGATATATATGCAAAGATGTGAATGTTGGGAAAATTGTATGTATCACAACCTGTAAATTATTTATGGAAGATAGAAGTACATAAGATCAATTTATATGTGTGTAAAAAATTACGATCTAATTTTCTTGACTTGTGAGATCCTGAGAATTAATAACACGATCTGTTTTCTATGTGCCAAACTTTTTGATTAAGAAATTTTAAAATATATTTTCTGTTACTTTGTATATTATATTTTTAATAACATTGTGCCAAATTGGAAGAATAGTGACTCAGATTATTAATCTGCCTTGTCTTTGCAAGAACTTTCTGGCAAAAAAAATCTATTATATTCTGGAGATTCCAGATACTAAACCTAAAATGTGAAAATCATATGCTCAATCATTAAGGTGTAGATTTATATTTTGTCTCATTTGATTTCTCTTGTGCGTCTTTTTACATTTCTTCTACTTTTTTTTTTGTTTCTTCTGTCAAATATATTCTGAAGCTCCATTAAAAAATATGAATGAGGAGTAATAATAATGTCCTTCCTATAGGACAGAACAAGATAGTGCTGGCTGAATTACTGGCTGCAGTCATGTTAATTCCATCGAGAGGTCATATAGACAAGGTTAGGCAGACAAGGCAATGAAACATTTTATTGCCTAACTAGAAAATGAAAAGCATTTATTGAGTTTAAATGTAGTATATGTTTCAGGTTTGACTCTCACAAAGGTTTTTGGTGTCAACTTCTGGAAGAGGGAAAAACAAAATGTCTTGGAAAAAGCAAAGGGAGAAAATACCCTCCAATGGACTCTGAGGTAAACCCTTATTTTAGATGTACCATAGATAAAGTCCACTACTTTAAGATAACAACAAATTTTATGGGCGAACATTTTGCCCTTTAAATTTCTTGCAGTTAAAAATATGTTACTGGTACTGGATTGCACTCATTTATGACACAACCACGTATGAATTGTCATTAAAAATGACAGTATTTAGCGGAAATAATTAATTTTATCTGATCTCACTTGCTAATAATGCATAATCTACTCCCATTCTACTGAGGCTGATTGCATCTATATTTATTTTGTGAAAAAAATGAAGAAGATTCAAAGAAATAGAATCTCATGTGCCAAAGAGGCTTTCCTATAAACCAGAAAGTCAAACCATTCAGTGTTAAAATATATTAGCTGGACTAGCTGAAAAGTGATGCTTAGAATAATTGTTGATTTAATGCATTTATTTCATTTTTATCCTGCCACAACCCCACAAGATACTTGGCAGATTTAATATATATTTAACATGCTCATACTAGAGTATTGACAGAACTGTTTCAAAAAATGGGAAAAGGAAAGTTGTTTGGGAAAAGGAAGTTCTAAGGCTGCATTTCATACTTCTTGAACAGTTTATAAGTCAAGTGTAATATTTTAAAAAGGGCACAAACCTGAAACCTAGATCCTAAAATCAAAAGGGAAATCATGTATATTTTCTCATCTTATTTCCTGGTGTGCAATCTCCAGTAGATCGATAAGAATATTTGTGTGTTTGTTAGTCATCTATTAATATTTATTTTGAAAAATGACTTATACAAGAAGAAAATATATTTTTCAGATTCAAATAAGTGAAAGGTAGAAGTATAAATAAGGCAACTGCATTATTTCACTAAATAAAATGTCAGCTTTTGTATCTACCAGTGCAGGGCTTATCTGTCAAGCTACTACAGAGATCACAATGTGGAACTATCAAAGCTTCTACACAAATTGGGACAACCACTACCATCCTGGCTGAGGCAGGAGTTGCAAAAAGTGAGATAGCACAAGGATTCTTCTTGACTTAAAAATGAATAATCTTAAGGTTCCGGGAAACTTTATTGGAACTAAGGCTTTTTGACCTGAAACAAAATATTGAGATTTGTTTGATATATTGTCAATTGAATTCTAAAAAATTGTATACATTTATCTCTGACAGTACACAGGTTTCATAACAACATAAGGATAGATGGATGTAGCACAAAGCTTAAATCTATCATGACCTTCAGCTCTGTCGGAAATATGAAAATGCATCATGTAACTCCTATTCAGTACAATAGGGTTGGTAAATCGATGGTGGTTCGAGACCATTCTGTACATGTTGGCATGGGTTAAATTTCAAGGGAAGATCTATATAATATTCCAAAATCAGAACAAATATTTACAATTTTATATAGTTTATTCCTATCACTTTAATAATATTGTGCTTGTGTGTGTCTCTCTCTCATGTTGATTTTATTCGGTTTTCAAATGGTTGAATTACACTTCTGACTTTTTTTTTAAAGGTGACAAAAATGTAGCACAAAATGCCAACCATTTCACAGTTCTGGTTTGGAAACACAGAACCAAATTTTAAATCAGTGAATGTGGAGTATTCAGCAGGTTCTGACCAGTTCTGGAGAACCGGTAGTGGAAATTTTGAGTAGTTTGGAAAACCGGCAAATGCCACCTCTGACTGGCCCCGCCCCATCTATTCTCTGCCTTTGATCGGCTAAGTCTTCTTTTGTTGCCCTGCACAGGAAAACGGAGCTGGAAAGCAGGATAGTGAGGTGGGGAGGCAATGGAGTAACCTTTTGTAGTAACCTTCCCCCAGGAGTGGGGAGAGAATGGAGATTTTACACTATCCTTCCCCTGCCATGCCACCAAGCCACAGAACCGGTAGTAAAAAAAAAAAAATTGAATCCCACCATTGAGTAAGAATATAAATTATTTTAAAAAGTAAGGATTCTTCCCAATTGCCTAAATTCTGGGAATAGAATCAGCACAATATTTGCCATTGCCTTCTTCCAGAACTGTTTTATGAATTCTCAGTTTAACTCATAGCTCTGGCATTTTCTGGTGGCTTCCATCTAAGATTGACACTGCTTAATTATTGAGATCAGCCAAAGAGCAATATTAGTGGGTAAGAATTTCCATTACTTGGAATATGCATATATGGGAATTTATTTTATCTGTTCATCCTGTCATCAGAATTGGGAGTTTTCATAGATGTGAAGATTTCTAGAAGAGATGAACAGGCGCCTTAACTCAGCTGCTATTCTAGATCAGGGGAAGAACTATATATCCATCTGGATATGGATCCAGAAAAATGCTATATAGAGACAGGAGTGTTCCTAGGCCTGCTGTCTCATTCCATTATATATTGGGGGATTTGCGCCTTCAGCAATTGGAGGAGCAATACTGTTTTGTAATGTCAATGTTTTACTCATTAAAACCAAGAGCTTATAGGATGCCAACATGCCCACAGTCCCCTTATTTGTCCCCAACTTTTACATTCACGCTGCTGTTTATGCACAGAGATCCCACAATCCTGACTGACAGCAAGAAACCTGAATATGGTCACCAACTACTTTTCAACAGAGTGTTGAGGCAGTCATGGTTCCATTATAAGCACAGAAACATTTAAAGCCACAATGAAGTTATATTGATTTTAGTATGTAGTTGTTTCTACACACTCTTTCTCTCTTGTATCACACCACTTGCCTAAATCATATTCAACTAGGCTGGCCAAGCAGTAGCTGGAAGAATGGAGGCTGCAATGTTTTCATCCAGAACCAGTCAAAACAGTAGTGGGTTCCTACCTTGGTCACTACTGGTTCAGTGGGTGATTGTGTGTGCGCCTGCATGCGCCCCTAACATGCCTGCGTGTGTCTCTAACGCACCAATCAGCTGAGAGGATGAAGAAATGAAAAGTCTGGAGTGACTCTCCCACCCACCCATGCGCTTGTCACTTCTTTTATCCTATCAGCTGATCGTCTGAGGAACCGGTTCGGCTTTACCAGTCTGAACCGATAGCATACCACTACCGAGTCAAAAGAACGTGGGCCTCAGAATTCCTTTATCTCCCACAAAGTCCTTGTTTCGTTGATTCATAAATTTGATAGCTGTGGATGGGATTAAGGTTCCCAGATGGAATTAAGGCTTTCTGGTTTTTCCCATTAGACACACGTATATATGCTAACACTGGGTACGCTAGGCATTAATCAGGTAATCATCTAAGCAGGTCTTTGATTGTGAAATAGCGTAAGTCTCCCAAACTCCATTCTCTGCCATATCCAGACACTAAGAAAATATTTAGATCACAATTTAAAAGAAAAATAATCTCAAGAGAAAGAAGATTAAAAACCAAACATGTTTACACCTTCTGCTCTCTTTGAGAAAAGCATCGGAGATACCCATCCTATTTTTAAACCCACAGTTGATGCCAATAAAGAAAATAAAAGCTAATAAAGAAAATCAGAATAAATTTAAACAAATGTTGCCTTCAAAAGCAATATGCACAATTTTAATTTTAAAGATGTGACAAAATGTTGGCTGGTGTTAAGTAGTGATGATCAATGTTTTAGATCACTACAAAGAGTAAATCTAAATATACAAATTTTACTTGCCTTACTACCATTTGACCCATGGTACTTCACATCAAAAGAATATGGTCAGTATTGGCTGAATGGAAGCCAAAATATATACTTGGAATAAAAACATTGTTCTTATAGTTAATTAAATATACAAAATGTTACCCAGCCAACGTTAATGTTTTCTTAAATTTAAATATTCTTTAAAAAGGCTTAAAGTTGCTGTGGGTTGAAAGTTTAAAAAACTTGATGGAGTAGGAAGCTTCTTTAAGTTCCATCAGCTATTGGAAATCAGCACTTTAATATGATGTGCAAGATTTTTTACTGTACCTCTGTCATTACCTTTTGTGAACAAATGTAAAATTGTTCTTGGACATGTACGCACTCTCCTCATTTGTGAAGAGACTTTGCTGAAGAGTGATTCACTTCATCCTTTGTAGAGATGCAGTCATTTCTGCACAATATGCTAAAATGGCAGAGAACTTTTATGGGGTTTTTTCTTTTTTCCTTTGTGGTATCTGAATAATGGGATCTCATTAGCTGAATGTCAGAATGCTTTTGATATATATATATAGCTGAATGTTTTTCAGATATTCTCTGCATAAAGCCGAGGATATATCAAAAACAGAAACCCTGTTATATTCTCGGCTTCTCAACCGGACCTTCCAGATATGGGCTGAGAAATTTTAAGTGTTTAATTCAAGACATCTAGGAGTATGGGGAAAGGCCATCCTAAAGAATTACTCTGCAATATGCAGTGGTTCTGTAGCAGAGGTTTCTAAGTGAACACTACAATTTGACCTAACATTCTGTAAATTTTGGTCTTAAAGCATTCATATAAATCACATAAGCATTAAATATCTTGCTTAAGTGAGACTTCATGCTAATGTATGCATATGTGCCTATACGTGTATACCTACAAAAACAGAGACATGCATATATTTCACAAATGTAGAAATTTACAGAATAATACTGATGTGACTTGAGTTGGCTGTAAGAAAGAGGTGAAAATAAAACTCAGTGTTAAAACTATCTGTCGGATAGTTAAAGGGAGTCAGGTGACAGAAATAGAAACACGGATATTAATCACATATTCCAAGAAAATTGTGTATGTTTCTATTGCAATATTTTCCCAGTTCTGCACATGAGAAAACTATTATTAATATATTGTACAGATTATACTTTATTATTGCTAAAATGTGAAGCTTCCTCAGGAAGAATAAAATATTTCAGTGTTGATAGATGTAATATTCTTCTCATTCACATTGAATGAAAATCTATGGAAATGTATTTCTCAATTTTTTTAAAATAAAATAAAATTGGACATTATTCTGCTAGTATCATGATTTCTGAAACACACCAATAAATTTAGAATTGTTTTAAGTTTACACACACACACATTCCATTACAATAAAGGTTGGCACTTCATATAGTTAAAAGTGATATTAGCCTCATAAAGGAAGAGACTGCTACACAACAGTACACTGAGAAGCATAGATCGGATTGTCATATTTTTGCTTTATAAGTCATTTTTAATTGATCATATTTAAACAATTTTAAGGTCATAAATGTTTGCATATTTTTAGGTCATAGAAATCCTCACCCCAGTGATGAATAAATGTCACTTTGATTTCTGCCTGATATTTAACCATTTTGTGAACATTCAATGATGTTTGGCAGTTCATCTACAGGAGAGTTATATTCTTTTCTTGGAAACTTGGGAAAAGACTCAAAACAATTGTTTTACGGTGTGATCAAAACATCTATTTCTGGTATCAAACCATGAATGTGTTCTCATTTTCATGCAAACATATAATACTAGATAAAAGTGTATCAGACAGTTAATCTTTATGATTATAAGGCTCATGTTGAATTTTGTATTTTATCCAGAAACAGAGAATCTTTCTGTTTCTTTAACCTGCATAGGTTTTGGAACAGCCTGTTATTTTAATAAATATTTTGCAAATATTTTATGAAGTCTGCAGGGAAGCAAAAAGTATTATCAAAAATTATTAACTCAAGTGCGTACAAATTTAGCTGACAATTAAGCAAAGAATTTTAACTCAGGTCTGCCCCTTGATAAGAAGAAAAAAGGGTTTATATTTTGTCACTGGTAAGTTATGTCATCCATTATTCATTGCAAATACCTTTTGGAATATAAAATGGAGGAGGAACAAGTGAAAGAAATAATGGTAGTATGGGCAAAAAACTTTGGTTACAATATCGAATTAGATAAATGGCAAAAGTTATGGGGAAAAAATAGGAAACTAACCTTGGCTACTTCTTACAAAGAACCTATACAAAATGTTTTACAGGTAGCACCTACCTCCAACAAGATTGGCAAAAATGAGCAAAAACGTATCCCCACAATGTTGGAAATGCAACACATTGTTAGGGACTTATCATATGTGGTGGTCATGCACCAAAGCAAAA